TGTGTGTGTGTGTGTGTGTGTGTGTGTGTGTGTGTGTGTGTGTGTGTAAGACTAAAGAAAGATTTTTGTTTGTGTCATTTTCAGCCCAACCGCCACAAAAGTTAAAGTACGTGAGGCACATCGGAGGATCGTGGTCCTGAATCATCCAGATAAAGGTTGGTCTACATCAGGGGTGTCCAGTCCTAGTCCTGGAAAGTCTATGCTGCATATTTTAGAGCAGGGGTGTCAAACTCATTTTCACTGAGGGCCACATGAGTTATGGTGGCCCTCGAAGGGCCAGCTGTAGTTTGATGTTTCATGTTTAACTTTGACTAAACAGWGTTTTAACATGTCCTCTTTCAAACACTGATAAGAACTAACTGTAAYGACTGACTAAATCTGAAATAAATACAGAAATGTTATTAAAAGTAAAACTAATAAAGTATTACTTACTGAGTTTCTAGTGAGTAGCTGCCATCTTGAATTCTGAACTYTCCCACTTTCTGACAGGGGATTCTCAWGAATGATCAACATGCATTATGATAGATTTAGTTTATGGTTGATGCTGACTTTAAAGCAGCTCATTTTCAGACATTAATACTGAGCTATCCAACTAAATTACTCATTTGAAGGAAACTGAAGCTACATGTCGCCCAGGACAATTAAAAACTGAATAAACATTTCCTGTGTTGTATGAAATTCAGTTCCCCTGTGAAAATCTGTTTCCCCTGTGTTGGAAGCGCCTCCCTCATAGGATTGGTCTGACGTTATGCCTGGACCAGTGAATGGGCCTCATGCAAGAACCGTTCGTACGCACAGATTTGTTCTTAAGTTATGCGTACGAGTGACTTAGGAAAATTTGTGGCATTCACCAATGTTTTCATATTCTAAGATTTTTAGGGGGGTACGGTGCACAGCTTCTGAATAAATGAAAATGATTTAACACAGTTGTTTATACTTTTAGCAGCTCTTTTTATTCCACAGCTGACCTGCTAAAAATGACAGATTTTCTTTTCTGGATCTCTGACAGACGGACTTAAATCTCTGAACTCGCAAAGTTTTTCTTTTTTTAGTTTTCGCTGTCATTTTCATGAATGGACACTTCCTTGTATCTGAGGCAGGAAACAAAGCCTTATATGGTGTTTTTGGGGTGGTAATTATGCTAATCTCCTCTCGCGTGCACGAGCAGCTGGATACGAACAGGTGAATTTACACAGCTCATTTACACACTTTTCCTGAAGATAGAAGAGTTTGTTGAATCTGACGTGACATGTTCGTACGAACCCTTTGTACGAACAAAAGTAAGAGAAATTTAGGATAAGAATACGAACATGTTCTTGCATGAGGCCCATTCTCTCTAAGGTTAACCACTAGGGGGAACAGATTTTCACAGGGGAACTGAAATTCATACAACACCTGCTCTGGTCTTCTCCAGAGTCATCTGAGATCTATCCTGTCAAGCACCTTTAGATTGTGGTGTAACAGGAGAGAAACATCATGAATGTACAGCTAATCTGCAGTAACTGTGTGATTTTATCACAGGAATGTTTTCAACACCTTGTTGAATCTAAGTCACAAAGATTTTAAAGTTTTAAGCAAAGGGAAGTGGAACCCAGTATTATGTGGACCTAATAAAGGGGCCATTAAGTGCTCATTTCATGTTTTACAATAATTAAAATTCATATGAATCTAAACATATGTATCCTTTAAATCAGGGCTGTTCAACTAAACTGCTCCGGGGGCCACAGTTACTGCTGGTCAACAGCTCAGGGGCCGAACATCCAACAATTAAAGTTATTATGTAAATAAACCAAGTATTACAAAGATATGTTACCTTTGAATTAGTTTATTTTGCTGCATTTAATCACGAATACAACATACAGAACCCAATAAAAGTAATGATAATTAAACATTATCAAAAACAAAAAGAACACATTATTTGACACCAATAATATTTTGACATCTCTGACTTGCCAAATTTTTAAACTAATTTTATTTTTACTTTCATCATTTTATCTTCAACTGCTTGTAGTTTTAACTGGCTTGGATGTTCATAGAAATGGTTTTTACCAGCTTCTAGCCAAGAGTCTGACCTTTCTGTAGACACCAAACATGTCTATGTTTAACTAAAAGAACTTAGAGTAATTAAAGTAGAAAACCCGGGGTTTGGGCTTAAGAGGTGAATGAACCAATTGGCTGGCTGGATGTGGCCCACAGGCCGCCAATTGAATAGCCCTGCTTTAAATGATAAAGAAAGAAAAATGGGTAAGGGTTAGTAAGTTGCTTAAACTGGCACRAAAACAAAAAGGTGAGATTTCTACAGACTTCGTTTCATATTTCCTGGTTAAACAGGCCTGACTTTATGACCTTCCGTAGTTGAAACTAAATTAAGTCCAGGTTAAATATTTTTTGTTTGGACTTCCTGTATTTGTGTACAGTGGTTCAGTGGTGTGAAAATTATATTAAAAAAAAAACTTGCTGCCAAAGTTTGTGGGCAGTTTTTACAGAATGAAACTAATACCTACTTGTGTGTTCAGGTGGCTCACCGTATCTCACTGCCAAGATTAATGAGGCTAAAGATCTTTTGGACAAGGAGACCCGCCGATGACCTGCAGTGTCATCCAACACTTCATGGACTTTAACCCCATCAGCTCTGTAGCACAATTACATCAGCAACACACCAAGACTTTCACACAGACTACAGGAAGATGAGCTTKTGCTGATATCATCACAGCCATCTGCGTACATACAGGAGATGATACTGTTCATTTATAAACGTTATTAAAGTGAAGACATTAGAGATGTGAAGTCACCCTCCAGTGGTAGCTGCTCAGAATGCTGCTGAGCTTCATGTAAAGTGTTGTGGTTTATCAATGTGTTCAGTACTGATTAAGAAGTGATAGAGTCAATGTTTCCATGTTTGATGACTAGTTGTGGATGCAACAATAAATTATAATAAACTTGACTGGTAACATAACGGTTTGAGCCACTGACTGGTTGTGTGAGTAGTTTTAAGCTTCCACCTTTAAAGTCTTATAGTATAAATACTTTTTGTGTGACTGATGTGTATATATTTATGAGGCCATCAGACGTGTCTTGAAGCAGGGATTTGGCCTTTCCATCACTGGTGCACATGGCTGACCACACAGGACATTTGGAGGCTGTGGAAATTTACCAAATGTGTTTGAGCAATCGCTGGAAAACAAAAAAAAAAATCCAAAAGTGGAGTGACTTTTTTTTATTAAGCGGACAGGAAATCTGCTTCGATGGTTGTGTGTGACACAATACAGATTCATCGTGTCTGACGTCTGGGTCAAGACATCGAAGGGGGAGTGTTGGAGCAAAGTTGTTTTTTTATAACCTTTATTTAACCAGGAAGTCCCACTCCCGTTGACATTAAAATCCTATTTTCCAAGAGAGACCTGGACCTGTTTGGGTCTACTCATAATGACAGATCAACTTCCTTTGCCACCACTGCTGTAGCGGCCATCTAGACTCAAGTTATTCTGGTATAGAAGTACATCTAACAGCTACTTTGTGAGTTTCATTTGTYCAGTGGTTCTTGAGCAGTTTTGCCAACAAGAGTGATACACAGTCACAGGCAAAACCATTACAGCCATCAKCAGCAGCAAAGATTACTATTTGTAGTAATCCTGGTGATAACCTGATACAGATAACACACCAATTCAYAAGAGTTTACAGGAGACATTGCACACAGTGAAGGCGAGGCTGTGCCTCTGTTGTCGACACCAAATCACACAGAAATGGTGTCACTGGGCCAATAATCCCATTGCTCGATGGAACAGTGGGGCTGACAGTCACAGAGGACTTGATTCACCACCAGAACGTGAGCTGGAATTTGTTTTCAGGGTTTAATCTCTAAGACAGGGGTGGGCAATCCTGGTTCTCCAGGGCCACAGTCCTGCATGTTTACTTATTTGTCTGCTCCAAAACACTTGATTCAGCCATTGAATTACCTCTTTCAAGTTCTTCAGAACACTGATAATCACCCATTGAATGAAATCAGGTGTGTTGGAGCAGAGAAACTAGTAAAAACAAATGCATCTGCTCTAAGATCTGTCATGTTTTGTGAAGTAAACAGGGGCACCACGAGTAGTAATCCTGGTAATAATTAGTACTAACAGGTATGTACTCTCCAGTGAGGTAAGAGGTGTGTTTAATAATGAGCTCATTTCAATACCTCTTCCTTCAATTCTCTGACGTATTCACTAAATTTAGCCTGATTTGGTAGTTATTTCCCCAACATTCACACACTTACACCACTGCAGAAGTTGAAGAAACAAAAAGTGGTTTTGGTTTATATGTATGAAGACAAACAAAAAAAAACTTAAATCCTCTACACAATGATTTGTTCAAATGAAATAAATTTATAACACTGATTAGTCATTTAAACAATCCACTCCAGGTTCACAGCTCTGCTAAAAACATCCTTTCATAAAATTAAGTTAATATATTATATACAGTGTTTCACGAGATCTCTTTACATCCAGACAGAGTCGATACAGTGTAGCCTGATGACATCGCCATGTTCATGTCTACAAAGCGCAGTTAAAACTGAGAGTAGGCACTTCTGTTTTCACGTTTGAAAGTTTCCTTATTTTGTTCAGCCAAGCCTTTAGAGAGATACACAGCAAAATGTTAACTCTTATTTTAGGAACAGCAAATGAAAACAAACACACAACCCATTGAAGATCACCATGACAAGTTTTAAGACGATACGAATGGACAGAAAATGGGCAGAAAAGATCCTACAAGGCGAGCCTCATATTCACAACTTTTCTACCCGTTTATCAAACGAAACATTAGATCCCAGTTTTCAAAGTTCTTTTTTTTCTTCATGCAGAGATGGATAAACTACAACCTTGCTTTGCTTCAAAATAACTGCATCACTCACTTCAGCCACTCACCAGTTGGACTGAAACATCTATAGTGGRTTGCAAAAGTATTCATCCCTTATTATATTTGTTGCCTTCCAACTTGGAATTTAATTGGGCTTCTAAATAGATCAAAAGCAGTAATTCCACAAAAAAATATCAGTTTATAAGGTAAGGTAAGATTCTTGAAATACTTGATTTGACTCAGTTTTTTTCTTATTTCAAGAATCTTACCAAGTAAAATTTTTTTACTCCATTGGCAGAAATATTTGACTAAATTTGAGTCAAATTTTCAGGCTAGCAAGACAAATAATCTTACACATTCTAAAAACAAGATTATTATTCTTACACAATCAGTTCTTGTTTAGTAAATCAGTCTCAAAACAAGATCAAAAAGACTTTTTGGCTGATTATAAGATTTTAAAACTTGGTAAGATGGACAGTTTTTGCAGTGTTTACCTTATTTGCATTAAAATAGCAACCATAAATCTTCAGAAGTCATATAATTAGTTAAATAGGAGCCACCTGTGATTGATCTATGTCAGATAATTTCAGTTTTTATACACCAGTTCACATCACCAACCAAGAGACATCATGAAGACCAAGAAACTCTCCACACAGGTCAGAGACTAAGTAACAGGTTGGGGTAAATAAGCCAGAATCCTGAGCATCCCACAGAGCTCCAATAAATCTATTATTAGAAAATGAGAGGATGTTGCAATCACTGCACAACTACTCGACCAGCAAAACTCAAAGATCAGGTGAGAAGGGCATTAATCAGAAAAACATCCAGGAGGCCAAAGATTGTTGAAGCTGGAGAAGAAGCTACTGGTCTTCATGGAAGAGAGGAAGAAAAAAAAAGACATTGATTAAAGAAATGAACGTTGGACACGATTGAGACTTTTCCATCAGCAGGGTCTGTGAAACTTATCAAAGTTAAAGAAAAACAATGGATGGAGCAAGATAAAATAATCCTTGAGAGAAACTTGTTGTGAGTCTTCGGAGATTTGAGACTAGAAACAAGACTGAGCAGAGCCCTCAACACATCTCTGAAGAAACACTCCACTGGTTTAAGAACCAGTTAAAGCTCCTGGAATGATCCAGTCAAAGCCCAGACCTCAGCCCAACTGATAATCTAAGAGATCCACTTATAGGAGCTGAAGACGTTTGTTCATGAAGAATACATGATGAGAAGCTCCAGGAGACGGACCTGAAGAGACTTGATGTTGGAACTGTTGCAGTCATCATCTTGTCGGATCCAAGATGTTGGGTTTTGGGGGCTGAAAACATAACGCACCATTTTTTTTAACTTTATATTTTTAGCATTATTTTAAACAATTTATTTCCCCACATTTCACCTAATTAATATTCATTGTTTTTTGTTGAAAATTTACTTTTGTTCAAATAAAAACATCCTAATAAATTTCAGGTTGTAAGGAAAAAGAATAAACAGAAAAATGACCAAGAGGGATGAATATTTTTGGACTACAGGACAGTGAGAGATGCTGGAACATCACAACCAGAAGACAAAGTCCACTAGATTAAATCTAACTGTGCCACAGATTTTTTTTCTTCTTTCCGGAAAGATGAGTATTACAGAGAAAGTTAACAAATAATTTCAGGGGTGCAATATGTGTCATTATTCACAGCAGGCAAGGCAAAGCAAGTGAGAGCTGGCTGGGCAAAAAAAAAGGACAAAAATCTGTCTTTCTTCTGACATTTTAATCCTTTGTGCACTCACCACTAAGTGTTCAGAGTAGGGAGGAGATGTCTGTGCCTTTTTATGCAACAGGGCTCTGACTAAAATGATGTAAGGCTGAGAGGAACAAAAATGTCACAATTAGTGCTAAATACTACAACAGATTTGCCACTGTTTTCCACATTCTTTATTTCCCCTCCAACAATCTCAGTTTTTGCTTGTAATTTCTAAATGCAGAATGCAAGTCTCTGACCTCCAGTTCCACTTGCTGACAAGGATCCTTTAGGTTTCTGTTTTTGCTTGGACAGGAGCATAGATGTAGCAGACAGGGGTGAGTGGATCAGGATCACCCCAGTACATTGTTTGCAGAGGAGAAAAAAAAGATGATTGAGGGCAGTGTCATTGGGGGACATGAGTGGATGCTGCAGAGGTCTAGTTGCCCCCGCAGCAGGCTCGGGTGGAGTGAGCGTCTGGGTCCTGGAGGTTGACGCCACGATGTCGCGCTGCGTGTGTTGGGTTCTGGGTGTCTGTTTTTGGCATCTTTTTCGCTGCAACATAAAAACATCTTTAAGTAATAATTAAAAATAAATAAACTTAACCCTTTCTTTTATGTAGATCCAATAATAAACTACCATATTTATTCGTTTATAATATGATCTCATGTATAATACGACCCCCCCTTTTTTGAGCTTAAAAAGCATAAAAAATTTAATCCTCAAACTACTTCCAATTTCATACAGACTTCAAGATTTTTCAGTCTTTGCAGTCTTTATACATATCAGTAAAATGATCGTTGGACTGTTCATTTTATTTTAACAACATATGTACTAAAAGGTATTTTGACAACAAATATATATCAGCTGTAGCAGCATCATATGAATTCTGGCATTTTACACATAGTCCACCAGGAGGCGCCAACATGTCGGAGACTTCACATGAGATTTGGGCCATCTTGTGGGGGAAAAGCAGATTACTTCCCACTCGCGAGCGCCACCTCTGGTGGGGAAATGTTTTTTCAGGGACACAAACTTTTTCAGAACACCGGTAGACGGCAGCCATTACAGACAAACGTGTTCCTTTTCCGTCATTTCACTCAGTACAACACACAGTTGTATATGGGACACGCGCACCCTCGTGTGCCTGCCTGAAGCCACCTCTAATCATGTCTTTAAACCGGTGACGTGGTG